TATACCGACTCAGATACGAACCAGTGTTATCCGAACAGAAGTCTGCAGCGTGGCTGGACTGATGTGGTGTCCCAAAGCAGCCAATCAGAACGCGAAGCAGTCTGCGTGCTGGAGCCCGATGTGTGTGGGGACGGCCTGACGCATTGTTGCGTCACGCGGGGTGAAGTGCAGGGCAGCCTCGCAAGCGCAACAGCCACGCTTCCTTCTTTTGTCGGTGCGGCAATGAAGCAAACACAGGTTTCTACTTGCACCAACCTCCTTCGCTTCCCACTTCTAGCACCAATTTCTTTCGCTAGGACTGAGCGTAATCCTCAGCGGTTTTATTCTCTCTATAATCGATATATTCACTATCGACAGTTCTCCTTCAGCGGTGACGTCAGCGAAATGTCCATTCACTTGAGGGATATTTCATAAAAAATCAATTCGCCGTTTGAAACCTGTAGCAGGAGACTGGAAATCAGCGAGATACACCAAGCAGACGGTCTGTTACGTCACATTCATGTGCGGATGTTATTCATGGCCTAAGTAGTGCTCATTGGCATGGGTTTTCAGGCGAAAAACAAAAAGATTTTGATTCACAACAGGAAATAATAAGTCTCGTAGATCCACTGCAGAAAACGGCATGGGAATTTTGATTTCCTGGGAAACTACGAGTTGCACAATTTTGAAAAAGCCCCGAACAAAGAGAGAGCGGGAACTGTCTGCAGTTATGTCGTACTACCAACCGTTTTGTATTGTCTACATCAAGGTCTCTTACTCCACATGAGGGACATGTACAGGCCAATATAACAAACTTCTGAAAATGAAGCATCACTGAAAAAAAATATTATTCCACGACGCTGCATTAAATGTTGGGGATATGTATGACAGGATGATTATGTATGATTGGTTTGGGTGGGGAGACATCAATCTCAGCCCTTTTTACAGCATGAACCGGACATTCACATGGAAGGCCCTAGGACGCCCAGCATACACCTCTACCGAGACTCAGTCCTCACGAACGCGAATGAGGCGAAAGTGTGTCTGTGGTAGGCAAGATAGGCCTGCAGTTACTGAAACCTGTTGAAATCAGGCCAGTCTCGCCAATACACAATCAAATGAAACCCGCATCTCCTGCAGAGGGAAAGGCCAAACAAGGCCTCCCCCGACTTTCTCGTCTGTAGATCTTAGTGGTCGGTTTGACACTTCGCTAAGCGTTGCGTCAAAGCAAAGAACGCCTCGCCCCGCCGGCTACGTACATGCTAAGTTACACCTGAGCTCTAATTTAGCTCCGTATAGCTCCACGCATTCATAACCTCGGCAAGTATAGGCAAGGGAAATGAGCGGTCAGCTTTGCGCCCAGGAGCTATGAAGTTCAAACTGTGGGGCGTGACGCTCGGCTTGGCAAACGGTAGAAGGACCAGTGAAGATTTTCTTACAGTGAGGTCCGAGGTTCTCACTGTGGTATCTGGGATGTGACCCCGTGTAGTTTGGTGATAGGTATGAGAAGGTGGAGGCAGCAGGTTCCTGGGGAACGCTGAAACCAGACTGCACGGCATCGAGTCCCGGATGAGTTTCCAGCTGTCAAGAGTAATGCAGTCAGAGCTGGGAGCACTTGCGCTAACGGTGGCGTCGCGACGCACAAGTTTACCTGAAGGGCTTGGGGCCCCTCACACTATCACCCTACACAGCGGCAAACCTGTGCACACAGAAGCGATCATCGATCGATTACGGATAACTTACATTTCAAATACAAAATTTACTTATGTAACCGTGCAAAGGACACAGCCATTTGGCCATACAAGGCCGCTCCGTTAGTGTCACAAGGCATACGGTCCAACTGCAGCGAGACATACGAACACTGGGATTCAGGAACAGGTAAATATGAAACTTAAATACAAAATAAATGTATAGCCGTTGCTATGCAACAGGCGAATAGACAACGGCGTTATGCTACCCGTTTCTAAGCACCGGATCGGTAAACACGTTCCCCAGGCAACAAATACGTCTCTACAACAAGAGTTTTCGTTGGAATGGGTGTTTTATACTCGGTCCGTGCGAAGTGGTTATAAGATAATTGAGACGACCTAGTGAGTTCTGACAAAAGGTAGACCCGTCCTCTCGTCAGAGAGGGCGCCCCACAATAACAAGACCGAAACTGTCAAACATTTATACGTAATCGTAATCGTAAATATCTGGTCATACGCTCCAGATTGGGCTCGACACCAAGACTGACTGACCATCAATCGCAGTGTCTTTGACTTCGACTTGGACCCAGTGAGTGGGCAGTTGACAGTGCGGCTGTAAAGATATATATATATATAAGCTATCCCTGTAACAGGCCGTGAAGGACCAAATGTGACTTTGACTTTCGGTCCGCAGTCCTCCCGACTTAAATTCATCCTGGCCCTCCAGGTTGGGGGAGTCTCGAATCCGAGACAATAAAATGTGGTTATGAGTCCCGCGGCACTCAGCCCCGAGAAGACTGCGCTGGCGAGGGCCAGTAACAATTGTCGACCGCAAGTGTTCAGTTGAAAATAAAAATGCTGGTCGTGAGTCTCAGAGGGGCTTGGCGCCAAGACGAACTGATTGGCGGTAAACTGTCGGTCGACATCATCTGAGTGATGTTCGGTTAGCATCTCCGCCGGGACTCCGGCTATGCTGACTGAGGCTTCTCGTGGTTTTCCTCAGTATCTTCACGCAAGTTTCGGGACAATGTCTCGATTTGGACCACAACTGGGTACTCTCAAACCCTTTGCAAATCATCGCACCAGCCGACTGAGGGTAAGGCTGCCAAGCACGTATTCTCAACATCGGCACTGGACGGAGATACGTGGTCCGCTCCCCCCCCCCCNTGCAGGCAAACACGATTCATGAAGCAGATGCGCGGCAACGGACGCGAGCTGCCATGTTCTGCGTGAGTGGGCGAATTAATACGCACGCGACCGCCCTCCATTTGCCAGCCGACAGCTCTCAACTGGGGCCACAAACTGACGGCACTTCGCGTCACGCCGTTTCCACCGGATCAATAATCAAAACTGGCGGCAGCAGTAGGCCCTGTGTTGTAGCAGCGCCGAGACACACGTTCCCTAACCTCAAACTGAATTCTCACCACGCCCCCTTACACCCACCTCAACAATTTTCTACAGTACTGAAAAATTTTGGAAATTTTAGCCCCCAAAACACTTACTTATTTACTTATGGAGCTGAGCTCTTCTTGAGGTGAAGCCAAATCTGCAGCTACCCCAGCATTTTATGGAACCCGAAGGTTCATTACCGTGTTCACAAGAGCCCTCCACTGGTCCCTATCCTGAGTCAGAACAATCCAATCCATACCACCCCTTCCTATCTCTCTTAAGATCCATTTTAATAGTCCACCCACCCACGCCTTGGTCTTCCCAGTGGTCTCTTTCCTTCTGGCTTTCCCACCAGTATCCCATATGCATTCCTCTTCAACCCCATTCGTGCTACATGCCCTGCCCACCTCATCCTCCTTGACTTGATCATTCTAATTATATTTGAAGAGTACAAATTATGAAGCTCCTCATTATGCAGTTCCCCCAAAACACACCAATTACATAATTATTTTTGTCCGTTAAATAAAATGTAAGCCTAATCAACAGAAAGCACCCATGAGCACAGCCAGCATTCTTTTCGAAAAGAGGAGGTCCCAGAAAATTTACTCGCAAATGTACCCCATGCCCGACGACATGTATTCAGGATATAAACAAGTTCTTTATATTTCATCATTTCCTTCTATTTTTAGTTCCAATTTTTGTTTAAAAAATTCGGAGGGGCCACGCACCTGGTTTGCACCCTCGTCCCTGAAATGTATCTATAAATCGACTGAACTGTGATGAAGTTATGTTGAGCCTATCCCGCTAACGACACTGTCGTAATATTGCGTAATTATGTTCAGTTTTGAAGTCATGCCATTAATAATCAATCATAACCTTTGCTATGTTCTGCTTATTCATTTTGAGTTGAATCCAACGTCTGACAGAAGAAAACATACGCTTGTGTGTCGCACATGGTCTTTGTCATCATCTAAAGAAATGTCCTTGCAGCTAACTACAGGAATGTTAACATGGCTGCTCAATTAAGCTAAAACTTAATGAAGTTTAACAACAGACTTCACTTATAATGATCAGTGGAATAATCAAATACGAGTCAGAACTTTAAAAATAGTGAAGTGGGACAAACATCTTGGAATATTTCTTCTGACATTCATACAATTATATCTTCCGACACAACTATTTCTCAAATTATGTTCTTTGACATACTGTCACCGCCCACTACCAATAAGACACTTCCTTACAAACAACTTAAGCTACCACTCATGACATTACTGCTCATGATTACTTATCCTTAAAACTGCACTGCAAATACGGCCACAGAAAAATAACGAGGTAAAACTTATTTCGTTTTACTATGTTCAAGTATATTTTTAAAAATGTGGGTTCAAAAGTTATTTCGTTTCAACCAATTTGGACCACCCACAAAACGAAGCAAATATTAAAAGCAACTGATATATCTAATACATCACCAATTACAAGCAAAGACTAGCAAACGATCTTCTAAAATCCTATTTGCGTGTAGCTTCGTTAACATATCTGGTCTGACGGAAAAATTTCAGACAACTTCCCAGGTTCATCTAAATGCTAAACACACATTTACTACAAAAATTCTTAAGGCTACAGCAGTCTAGTTTCAAATTAATGTTATATTTTATTCATGCACAATTAATATTGTTGTTGCTTTGCGAACTACTCCAGCTTCACTATTTCATGAACACGATAATAAAGCTACAACTCTAAATAACTATACTTTGGCAGCACTGTTGGTTTATTTAACGTTCAACTCCATTACTTTGAAACTCGGCTAATAAACGACAAAATTCAGCACTATAAGTAGCATCTCGTTTCAATTTTCAAATCTCTCTGGCGAATAATACGAGTCATGCAAGGCTTTCGTTCCAGTAACGGCCACAAACGTTAACCCAGGTCTCGTACGAAACGTACCTTCGTTTCCACAATCTTGACCGCTGATTTGAGCAGCATCACATGACCACACTACAGATTTTGAGTATTTGACCACACTACAACAGCTTTTGTCATCACACACTCACACACTAACACCATTCCTGCACTCGCTTTTACCGTAATGGTTCGCTCATATTCCCCTCAGATGGAAGGCGAAACGAAACCGTACGAAACTAGCACCAAATGCGGGCAGAGTGGGAACTATTCGAGAAGTGTCCAACATCGCGCTGCCATCTGCTGGCGGCATGAATAACTCAGGCATAATGGTCTTCGCTCGACCGATATTAACAGATACCAACAGCTGAACATGTCCGCGAATTTTCATGCATTTTATTTATTTTACGCGTATTTAATAATCACTGTCGTTCCTTAGTGCCTTGCTAGGTAAACAGAATCTTGAAGAAACTTACATGAAATGATAGTTGCAAATTTTAGTTGCACATACACAAGTATTTTATACATTTTCTCAAACATCTCTCTATCTCCTAGGATATAGCGCCGTGTACTCCGTTTAAAAGTCAACGAGCTTGGGCCTGCTCGCTGCCTGCTTTCACACTGGTTTCTTGATCGACTTATTCTTCGACCCTGGAGAAAGAGTCGACATGTTTCTCCGAAACGTCTCTTGATTTTCAATGGACTGCACGGCGTTATATCGCAGATTACAGAACTCTTCATAACAACGGCTGTGAAAACCGCAAATCCTGCAATCCTCCTTGATCCCTTATCATTACTAACTTCTTTCACAATCGTCCCCACCTTTAGTGTGTTGGCCTGAGAAGTTGCAAAAACACGATAATTAATTTGAATGTGTCTGTCTGTCCGTAACTGCGAAACGGATGTTCATCACACCCGATATTTTGGGGTTCTATCGGAATTTGTAGGCACACTCCAATTTGGGTTAAAACCGGACAGAGATAACAGACAAGTTTTATGAAGACCTACACACGTTTCTGTGCGTAAGCCGCTGAATACATTTATCGGGGCGAAACAAGTTTCAAACAGAAGTTGCAGGGAAGACAGAAGCACAGATTTTATTCTCAATAACGTTCTCGGGCAAGTCTCACGGTTTTCGAGGTAATTAAACAAAGCAGAATCTCATGCTGTGTCACCTTGCAGGAATCTTTGGAGCGATCTCAGATTTCCTAAACCTCTGTGCAATAGAAATATCACTTTACGTAACCAGGGCTCTGGAGGCCATATCACAAGGAAAGTCAGTCTGTGGCAACATCTGACAACCATTTTATATGTTAACATGGATACTGCGTTCACGTTATGCACATGCCGTGCATAAGCAATAAGGGCCGAAAAGGAATTCACCTGACTACATTAAGTACAGTCAAGCCATGCCATATTTCATCTGAATATGATACATCAGCTGAGGGGCAAAACGTGCAGCCCCCTCCCCCAAAATACAACAATGGGGCCGACTCAGCCTCTAACGGAAATGAGTCCCAGGAATCTTCCTGGGGGTAAAGGACGACCGGTCAGCGCGTAAGGCTAACAAACTCACCGCCATCTGTGAGCCATTGTCTAAACAATGTGGGAGCCTCGACGTCCCACAACCCTATGGGCCTCCACGACCTGTTACAGTGATGGCTTTGCCTTTTACTCTCTTTTTTCTGGTGCTAACCACAAAACCGATAAGACAGGCATAGCAGTAACGCACTGTACTTGTATTTGGGAAGTGCTTGGTTCGAACCTCGGCCAGAACAGTGGCTATATTGACTGACGATTTTCGTGGGTTTCCCTAGTCTCTCCATGTAAATGCAGCCGAATGGTCACTGACTCGAAGACCGAGAAATCGGAGTTCCATCCCCTTCAGTGACAACAGCACACCCGGAGTGCTCAGCTCCCAGCTCCCAGGGAAGAAGCGACCGGTACCCCCTGGATGGGGCCCAGAGGACTGGGCGCTGGGGAGCAGAGAGGGGTCTAGTGCCCCTGCCGGGAGTGGATCGCCGACAGCCACTATACCGACTGAGCTATGGAGATCCTGAGAAAACCGCCGTTAAGGCTACAGCAAACAGCTGAGGGCCGGTCACCGCCGCGTCCATCCACGCAGTCAATGACCCGCCGCGTACTGCTAGGTCGCCGTAAGTCAATAAGCCGTAACGGTACAGCGGTAGCGTACTCTCGAACGGGAAGCGAAACGCTGACGGCATGAGACTCGCATGAGGAAGTGCGATCGGCGTAAGATCACGTGCTCGGTCTGGTATTGAACCCTGAAGATGGAGGCAGTAAACTTCTCCGAAATAATGATACCTATCTTCATACCGCAGTGCGAACCTCAGATCTTACACAGTCGATAAGGATGTGTGCCCAAGTAGTGTTCTACCAGGTCCCTACCAGACTACACGGTACTGCACTCATGACCGCAGCTCCCACATGGAGAAACCAGAATCTGTGCCTTTGGATTATGTCGACTTTCCCCCGTGTCGATATGGGCAGTGTTGACGACGTTTCGTAGGTATATATTACTCCCATCTTCAGGGTCGAAGTGAGTTGTGTGAGTCAGCGTTCGTTGGACACGGTCCTACTGGTCCCCAGTGGATATATTGGATTCACCCATTTCGGTTCGGCCCTGAATATGGAGGCAGCACGTACCTCCGAAACGTCTGCAACACTGACCGCATCCAGACGGTGCAAAGACCCTAGACTAACAACAAACTACCGTGAGAGCCCCAAATCGGTGAAGTTACGTAAGGAAAAGTTGTGTGCTAAAGTGGCGGAAGTGCATGGTCAGTGTAATACACGGTCGCCAGGTGGCAGCAGTGTTCCTCGTCCGTGTGGGCACTTGAACCAGTCTTGTTCTCGGAAACTCGTTACTAAACGCACCCAACCTGAACCTGCAGGCTACACGGAGGGGGCCGGGGGACGGGGTAGGGTTGAGGCAGCGTAGCGGCGGACGCCGTTACTCAGTCAGTGTGTGAGAGCGCGTTGCTGAAGTTGCGCATAACATGATGACGGAGACGGCGGTTACAGTGACCACGACGGAAGGGGCGCCTGGTCACAACGCGACGTCGCAGCCGACGGTGAAGTCTGACCCTGGTCAGGGACAGAACAGCCTGGCGTGGATACGCCTCAACTTCCTCTACTTTCGCACCATCCCTGGTATACTGAAGGTTCTGCAGGTGGTAAGTAACCATCCCTCGCGGCGCTGACTGTTGAGGTTATGTGACCCCGTGCTATGTGGTACAGTTGCCAACGTTTCGGAGGAATCTATGCCTCCATCTTCTTCTGCCTTAAAAACAAGTAAAAGCTCTTTTACCCAGAAGATGGAGGCTGTAGGTTCCTCCGAAACGGCCCCACTTACCAACCAGTCTACGCTGCATTATGCCCCTGCAGTCTATTCTGCCTCAGTGGTGGCTGCAACAGGCTTCCCTTTACCAAACTGCACGGCCTAACATCCATAACACAGCCATGTTTGCAAGGATGCTCGGTGCGCATGCGTCTTTGATGGTCACATTTAAATGCTAGGATTTTGCCCTAAAATATGGCTTGACCACTCTGCGGCCACCCTGCCATGCACTTGAGGCACAGTTCTACCGATGAAGAAACAATTCTGTGTGAGGTTTGGAAACCTCACTGCATCACTATCTTTTGGGATGTGACTAGAGCATAGTAATCTTCAACCATATATTTGAGTGCCAAGTCGTGTACACTCAGGGGTTCAGTTTAGTGACCAGCTCCAGAAGTAAGATCTAAAAGTTTGTCATGATGGTATATATTGATTGCTGCAACTATTATGTTTTTGGACATAGTCCATCGTCTTGTCTATGGTTTTACCTGAGGACGAGGACAGAATCCAGTCTCAGAAACGCTGTGTTTAAAAAAACCAGGGCGGTTTTATAAAATACGCAAGACGATGGATAATGTCCAAAAACATAATTCTTGTAGCTCCACAAAGATTGGCACAGGTGACGGAACCTCGAGACACTCCCGTTCAACACACGAAACCCGCAACTTAAAAAAGTTTTGTATAAATGTAGAACTTCCCCAATTACGTCTCCAAGTCGCTTTGTAGGTCCAGCATATTGCCGCCGTGCAGCGCGTTTTCATGGCAGTTCATTTCCTGCCATCAGTTCCATAGACACCAAGATCACCGAACTTCACACCTTGGAATGTCTCGTTTTGAGGGCGTCGCGAATGAAGCCGTTTATGGCCTCCTGTGCCAAACCGTACAGAAACGCTGAACATTCCTGAACGGAGCTGGAATGCCATGTTATGAAAGGGGCAGATATGGAAACTTGCAAACACGTGACACTTTTCTCCGTCATTTCGCACACCCTTTCGCTCCAGCCCTGAAGAAATAAAGCTGTAAATTCAAATTGTGGTCTGCAGATTCATGGTAGCGTATAGTCGGGTAGGTGGTTACCAGCGTTTCGGAGGAACATAAGCCTTCATCTGTAAAAGTTGATGCCAGATCGCAAGATGTCATGGTACAGAAGTCCACAGCACTAATCCACTGAAAGCACACTTAACTTGTTCTAAACGTTTGACGTAGCTACTGAACTCTAAGTACCCAGTATTAACGTCATTAGCAGCTACTGCATTCATCATCGGAAATACTTTTCGTTATACTCCGTGTTTGCTTATGACGTATTACGTTCTTAAGATCAGGTTATTTAGCCTGTGCTTGCAGTGTTGCAAGTCAGTGAAGATTAATTCAGGGTATAACGTCCAGGGGAAACGTACACAGCATTTCAGTACTGAAGTGGCGAGCTCTTTTGGACACGACAGTGGTCCTTCAGGCTCCAGGACAAGGCATTTCTTTATCAGTTTATTGTTGTAAACGTAGCATAACTGCACTCTTCAGTTTAGCTTGTGCTGAGTGGAAGGAAACCCAGAACAGTAACGATATGAGTGGGGGCCCACCGCGAAGTGCCCGATAGTGTGTATGTACACTGTATGTATATGTAATAAACGATGCAAGTTAACGCTTCCGGACTGCACAGTTTGGGTCGTTACCGCGCCTACTAAGCACGTGCCGTGACGTCACACTGTGTGCAAACACAGATGCCCATACTCAGGCTTCACTTCTGCGTCTGCGCAGTTGCGAATAAAAACGTCAGTACTAATATCTCCTGTTAATTTGACGGAAGCGATAAACGGAGATGATGAGAGACGAAGAATTTTGTGTCAAGAGTGGAATTTGAGGTGCCGTAGCAGTTACGGCGGTATGCGCATGCGTAGGACCTTCCTCTGTCGTACGGTGGTCAGAGTTCCTGGCTACAGATCCAGAGGGCCGGGTTCGATTCCCGGCGCTACCAAATTTTCTGAGAACTAGCGGGTCTGGGACGGTGTCCACTCAGCCTCTTGAGGGTAACTGAGGAGCTATTTCAAGGAAATAGCGGCTCCGGTCTAGAAAACCGAAACTAATGACCGTGGAGTTTCGTTGCGCTGACTACGCGACACCCTCTATCCGCTAAAGTTGGCACTAACTTCGACAAGCGGCGGTCGCACGGTCGGTATAGTTCGCTTGCGGACTAAAACCACGGACTTCGTTTTTTGTTATGCGCATGCGTAGAAGTCAGGGTAAATCGTATCGCACAAAACAGTGATCAGCGAGATTGCTGTTGTAACATAACAGAAAGTTCAGCTTCAGTAGCAAACAGAAAGTTCAGCTTCAGTAGCTTCATAACCTCACGATTTTTGCGTACTGAATTTTAGGTCAAAATTTTACAACGTTTTTGCTGTAATAGTTTTCAGTATTACTGTGGGGGCACTATGCCACAAAGCAGCACTGTGGCCCAGGCGTCGACTCAGTCTCTAACAGAAATGAGTACCAGGAATCTTCCTGGGGAGTAAAGGGCGGCCGGAGTGTAAGGCTGAGAGCCTCTGCCGTCGGAGTTCGAGACCCGGAAGGGTCAAGAATTTTCTTTTCTCCACGTCGTCCAGACCGGATCTGGGGTCCACCCAGCCTCCTATCCAATGGGTACCGGGGGCTCTTTCCCCGGGGGTAAAGTGGCCGGGACGTGAAGCTGACCACTCACCTCAACTCAAGCCGAGGTCAAGAAAACGTGGGTCTATACATCCACCCCCATACGCCTTCATGGCAAGTGCTTAATTAGTTAGGCTCAGGGACAACGTTACGTTATATATATATCTCAGGCTTCCAAGGTGTAATGCTGTTCACTACGAAGTGAAAGTCTGGCTGTTACAACAAACGTTTGTGTTTCTTGAGGAATGCGACACTGGCAGCAGTAACCGTAACCGCAAGGACATTGGCACGTCGTGTAGACGGGGTTTTGCATAATTGGATTTACTGACCACTGAAGGTCGTAACTGCAAATAGCCATAACAGTATCGCTGATTTCCAACTTTACAGCTCACTGGAGCACGCAGTCTAGTGTTCTCAGTCTGTTACTAGACGTCTCCTGGAAACGTCTCCTAACAATAGCTGCTCCTTTGCTTCCGTGCTCAAGTCCCCTCAGAACGGCTGCTCCCTTCCAACTGAACTGCTTTTACTTCAGACTCCTGTACACAACTGATTCGGTTGCCCCAGTTCTCTTCCTTATAACCCCTCGGCACGGACCGAGTAGAAAACATCGTTTCCAACAGTAGCGCTATTGCATACATCCATTGCCACGGGAATGTGTATATCGAGCCGTCGCCTAGAAACGGCCCTACACCGTACGGTATCCCACTGTGCCTCTAATAACATCAGAAGCAAGCGATGTGCCAGTGGTCACCCCTGGGCTGTAACGCTGCTGGTGCGACACTCCAACAAATATAACGCGAGTGTACACGTACAGACTACTGCTGGAACTTGTACGCATAACTCGATCACTAGAGTTAGTCAGCTGGTGTATATAGTTTTTGTGGGCCTAGGCATGCGGAACACAGTTTGAGAACTACCTGTAAGGTAGGAGTAGCTTCCTGACTGAGCCGCCATCTTAGTTTGCATACTCGGCCGTCCGGCCCAACAGCCTTGGACTGCTTTCTGTTGTGGAGTGTACAGTGCCTCGTGACGTAACAGTCTAGAATACGTTTAAAAAGCAGGCGATCCCATAAAAACAAACCTGTCCGCGGCGCGGTGCCGGCATCTTGATGAGTGTGTGCCACTTGCGCGCACAGCCAGTTCGGAACAGCTCGAGAGCGCGGACAATGCAAAGAGCCCTATTGTGCGGTGTGTCCTTCCTCTTGTTCATTTCCTCCTTCACCACTTATTCATTTTTCTCCGATATTCCCTCCTCCTGTTTCTCCTCTGTCCTCCCCTGCATTTTCATCGCCATAATATTCCCTTCTTGTGAGAGTTATTTTATGACTGTCAGTGTCAGCCGAACAGCATCGAATGGTAGAATGAATGATGAACTGGGAAGGATCTGTAAGGAAAGGGTCGTGGGTCAACAGGAATATGCCTGTAGAACTAAAAAAACAACGTGTCCTGTAGTCCGCAAGCGAACTATACGGACCGAGCGACCGCCGCTTGTCGGCGAAGTTAGTGCCATTTTTGCGGATAGAGGGTATCGCGTTGTCAGCGCAGCGGATCCCCACGGCAGTTAATTTCGGTTTTCTAGACCGGAGCCGCTATTTCCTTGAAATAGCTCCTCAATTATACTCACGAGGCTGAGTGGACCCCGTTCCAGACCCACTACTTTTCATAAAATCTAGTAGCGCCGGGAATCGAACCCGGACCTCTGAATCTGTAACCAGGAATTCTAATCACTAGACCAAAGAGGCGGTCCCATTTGTCATTAGCGACTGAGGAAAACTGAAAAACAGCTAGTATAGCCGGTGTCCTTCCGAATACAAGTTGCTGCTATGGTAACCCGCGCGATATAATTTCCATGATCATGGTCATCAAAGTGTCTTCACACTGAGTACTACAGCCTTCACAGATGTGGGTCAGTCACTGCTCCAAAACGGTTACCCTGCAACCAGCCAAGCTACCAGGGTTGTCGGACACCTCACATCAATATACAGCAATAGTGGAGTGATGATTGCCAGGGGAAAACCGAAGAAACCTTGAACAGAGACCTGCTTCAGTGCTAATTCATCTGCGACAGATGTCTCTCAAGCCCTCCGAGACTGAACCTGAGGCCCCGAGGTGTGAATCCAGCCACCATCCCCGTGAGCCCGCGCTGCAAGTTATGAAGACAGGGTTCCGCTGTATGGAGTTGGCTGCATTCTA